CCTAAGCGAACTGATTTTCACGCTCACCACGGGAAATCATTGGCCTGAAATTAATAATAGCTCAGTGAGAAAGTCGGTCGTTATCTAATGAAGCTCGAAATCCTCAGTTTTGTCTGGACACTACCCTTGAGACTACCCCAAATGAATGTTCATGCATACGACCTCTATGTATTCTCTTGTAAGGATTGATGTCGAGTATCATAACGTTTACTATTTGAGAGGGTTGCAATAGCAGTGAATGATTTAAATCCTCTGAACATTGTTTACGCTATGTCTAAAATCTTTATAAACCTTAAACTCACTTGATTTACCATCATTTTAGGACTGTCTACATCAATGAAGATTGCAGTTCTTGTGCTCGTGTCGTCTCTTCACACCTTTGCCTTCAATCTAGACCGGAATCACATACGAAGAGCTGTGGCTGAGAAACAGTCAGGGTATCCTCAAAAGCATGACGTAAAAGTGGTGAAAAGAAACAATCCCAATGATAATTTGGGAGAAGAAGATGAGGATTATTATACAGATGACGAGGAAGGATTGTTTATCAAGGACGCCGATAATGAATATGTTGACGAAAAAAAGAAGCAGAAGAGCAAGACTAAATCAGAAGCGGGGTCCCAGATTTACAACCACTATGTATGCTTCTATTTATGTTAGCTTTATACTTCTTTCAATTGTTTGGCACTTCTAGGCACATGTCAATGTTGATATCGACGATGAGGCTTCAAAAAATATACTGCAGTCTCTGTTACGCTCAGTTCTAGGAGTACGTGAGAAAGCAGTGCTAGTATATGCACCTGACATACCTCCCGTGGATAGAATAAAAGAAGAACGGGGCAGATCCAAATTTTTAGCTGACTACAAGGGAGAAGTAAGTGGCTTCTAGCATATTGACTCAGCGTGCGGCTTAACAATATCGTAGAGGGCACAGAAGCCCAGTGAGGTACGAAAAATTATTCGATATGCGTGTTCTACCAGTCACAGGCGATTTGTCAAAAGACGCGAAGAAACGGGTTGTGTCGGAGCGATTGGTGGAGTTCACATGCGCTCATCACTCATTTACTTTGCTCTTAATACTTCAAATTCAGAATTCGCAAAAGAAGTTTGCAGTAGCTTCTTAGACTGTTTATTCCAAGAAAACAGCTCAATATCTCTCTGTCAAACAAAGTGAGCATTAACTGCGAATATACACATCTTATCTCGTTGATTTTAGAATATGCGAGAATTTCAATGCAATGCGGAAAAGTGAGAATTGCTACAAAGAGCTTTTCTCATGTGAAGATTAAAATTTAATAAAGTTTGCATTACTCTTTTCTTCCGTGCATACATACTTAATTAGCTGATAAATAGCAAGCTTTTGTAGTCGCAAACGTGTATGGGCAGAAACATTAAATTCTAACATAGACACTCATATGGCCTGTCACTCGTCATCAGGCGCCAGCAAGTTTTCCATCCGTTTCTGTCGCTCGCTAGCGTTATCCGCGAAATTCGTT